TTTTTGCAAGTGAACTTTTTTATATAAACATATTGACACGTGTGACGATCTGCGCTCCTATTGGACAGCGAGAGCTGGATCCACAGTCTTCCCTGATAGAAAATATCTGTAGAAATAATAAAAACTAATGATATTTGACTTCCGCAGGTCTCAGTCTCTCAACAATCACAGTTCTACATAAAGTTAATTAAATATACTTTCCACAGAGACGGACTTTCTTCAGATAAAAGTGTGTAGTTATAATATTACAGGTTTTGTCTTGAAACACAGAGGAGAACGGAGAACGTTAATTATGAAATGTGAACTGTGACACAGAGGTAAGACGCAAAGGATCATGGGACAGGATTTCTATTAGTGAAGCACAAAACACAAATGTCTGATGAGATGAAAGGGCTGATGGGAAATGGGAGGTTAGTGCCCTGGTTTAACCTGCACCAGCAGCTGAAGAGAGAGACCAGAGAGAGACCAGAGAGAGACCAGAGAGAGACCAGAGAGAGACCAGAGAGAGAGACCAGAGAGAGACCAGAGAGAGAGACCAGAGAGAGACCAGAGAGAGAGACCAGAGAGATACCAGAGAGATACCAGAGAGAGAGACCAGAGAGAGAGACCAGAGAGAGACCAGAGAGAGAGACCAGAGAGATACCAGAGAGATACCAGAGAGATACCAGAGAGAGAACAGGGAGAGATCAGAGAGAAACCCGAGAGAAACCAGAGAGAAACCAGAAAGTAGAAACCATTGTATCGTGCTCTTTATTCTGTCGGTGCACACAGAGTACCTTTTTTGCAAATGTATTCCAATGTAGTTTTTATACTGCATATGGCTAATAAAAATGAATCTGAATCTGAATCTGAGAGACCAGAGGGAGACCAAAGAGAGAGACCAAAGAGAGAGACCAAAGAGAGACCAAAGAGAGACCAGACTGAAACCAGAGAGACCAGAGACCAAAGAGAGACCAGAGAGAGATCAAAGAGAGACCAAAGAGAGACCAGACTGAAACCAGAGAGACCAGAGAGAGACCAGAGAGGGATTAGAGAGAGACCAGAGAGGGATTAGAGAGAGACCAGAGAGGGATTAGAGAGAGACCAGAGAGGGATTAGAGAGAGACCAGAGAGGGATTAGAGAGAGACCAGAGACAGACCACAGAGAGACCACAGAGAGAGATTCCAGAAAGAGACCAAAGAGAGATCACAGAGAGACCACAGAGAGTTTAGAGAGAGAGCCCAGAGAGAGACCAAAGAGAGAAATGTCTGATGAAAATGAAAGGGCTGATGGGTAATGGAAGTTTAGTGTCAGTTATTTGTTGTTTAGATGTAGAAAAAGGACTATTAAGTGCTTAATAAATACCAATTAAGAGCCTATTAACTATAAATCATACATTCATTAGCAGTTAAATAGCTAGTAATTAGTGAGGGCTAAACTAAAGTGTGACAGATTTTATGTTTAATTTAGGGCTGTCAAGCAATTAAAAATGTTTAGTAGATTAATGGCATAGTAATGGTGAGTTAACTCACGATTAATCACATTTTTAACATTCTATTTCAAATCCACTCGAATGGAAATTAAATGAGATTATCAAATGTAACGACACATTGTCATTCAGACCAAATGTACTTAAATCTGTTTTATTCATAACCTTTTACTTTGGGCAGAACCAACATGAGCTGTTAATGAAAGGGAACATTTACTTTAGCTAGTTTAGTAGTTGTGTTTCAGGAGGAGACACGGACACTTCCTGAGGCTCCATAGTTCAGCTTCAGCGGTGTATTTAGTGCTGCACAGTTATGCACAGGTTACACATAACTGTGCAGAGAACGTGCAGAGAATGGTCTTGAGGCGTGTATGGTCTTGGATCACGTTACCGCAAAGCCATTCCCCGTGTTGTTGTTTACGGCTCACAGCAGCTGGAGGTGGGAACCTCTGTCCAGAGCGGCCACGGAGGAGGTGGACTTCAGTTCAGAGCAAACAACAGAAAGTGCCCCGCGGTCACGCCCGTATTCTTTTAAAACTTGAATTCCTAGAGACCTGCTCTGTCTCCATCTCACACAGGCATGTGTTCGCGGCTCTGAGTGTCATTATGGAATACATGGGCGGGTCATTCTGACAAGCGTTATTGTGTTCTTTTTTTTTATAGCATTAATGAAAAATGTAATTGACGTGAGTTAACGCAATAATTTTGACAGCCCTAGTTTAATTTAAAGAATCCAACAGACAGAAAGGTGATATGTTTGGGGTATACCCACGCACAAAGACATATTTAAGGTAAATAGGAGGATTTTCTACTTATTTTCTACCGGATGGATCATTAAGACTATTGGTCCAGGGAGTTCAGGGAGATTTTAATTATAAAATTAGTTTTACAGCTCCAAAATCTTTTCATTCCGTTTTACCAATCAGAAAGTCTGTGATCCAGGCGCCAGAACTCACCGCGTTGAGCTAATCTCACTGGTAAAGTACCATGTCAAGCAGCAGTACTAGTCTCGTTATGATTCTCAAATAATTAATGACAAAACTCTTGTCTATTCAGCTGTTATGGTCCCAGCTGGATTCGTGCATATCTGGCAACCTGAGTCAGGGAGAGTGGGTCAGGGCTGCAGTACCACTTTTGGCCAGATTTGTCCAAACTGCTCCTTTCAGAATCACAATAATATTGAATTGTGGACCAGACAATACAATACTATCAAATCTCAGGTTTAAAGATTATGGAGTTTAATGGAAGTAAGTTCACAAATTCACCATAAGAGCTGAGGCCACAACATAAAACTGTTTAAGCTAACATTAAATACTCTTAACAACTTATGCACCTGTACCTTGTTCCTCAGAAAAGTAGAAGCAAAGTAATAAAATCATCTTTAAGTTCTCCGTAGAAACGTTCATTTTTTATCACCGTCTTTCTGTTGCCGTTCGCGTCCGTTTATGGCACGTGCCCTCCCTCCTCGCGCTCACGTCTAAACAGGAAGCGGAACTTTCAAAATAAACTTTTCAAAACCCAAACCGGAAGTTAACTGTAACTGAAATATATTATTAGTAGAAATACTTTGTGGTTATTAACATCGTTCTTATGTCAACCTGGACAGACATGCCCTAGAATAGAGGAGGCAAAATAAATGTAAATAATAAAATCTGTTTTCGCTAGCCATGCTCTGCTCTGCTCTACTCTACTCTACTCTACTCTACTCTACTCTACTCTACTCTACTCTGCTCTGCTCTGCTCTGCTCTGCTCTATTGTACTCTACCCCGATTTGGAGCCGGGAGAAAGAGACCAGAGAGACCATAGAGAGACTAGAAATAAACCAGAAAGAAACCAGAGAGAGACCAGAGAAAGACCAGAGATAAATCAGAAACCAGAGAGAGACCAGAAACAGAGACTAAAGAGAGTGAGGGCAAATAAAGACCAGAGAGAAACCAGAGAGACCAGAAAGACCAGAGAGAGACAAGATAGAGACTAAAGAAAGACCAGAGAGAGACAAGATAGAGACTAAAGAAAGACCAGAGAGAGACAAGATAGAGACTAAAGAAAGACCAGAGAGAGACAAGATAGAGACTAAAGAAAGACCAGAGAGAGACAAGATAGAGACTAAAGAAAGACCAGAGAGAGACAGGGAGAGATACAAGAGAGACCAAAGAGAAAGTCCAGAAAGCGAGAGACCAGAGAGACACAAGAGAGACAGACCAGAGAGAGACCAGAAAGACCAGAGAAAGACACCACAATCACACACCGGTGCATCTCATCAAAAGTGTTCCCTGTCAGTGGGCGGGCTTAACGAGTGAACGAAGGCGTGTCATTGGACGAGCACACTCTTCCATCGCCGCTTTGTAAAGTCACTGCTCTGAATAAAATCCTCGACTTATATTTAAATGCAGAGGTTTGACACAAAAGGCAGAAGTGAAATCGTTTTAACACAGTCTGGTGACGATGGAATGAGATTAAAAGTCAAGGTACATGAGTTTTATAAGGTGAACCCATGTACTTCTAATTCTATTATAGGTTTCATTGGATTTACCTCTCTCTGGTCTCTCTCCAGTCACTCTCTGGTCTCTCTGCTCTCTCTCTCTTTCTCTCTTTGGTTGCTCTCTCTCTCTCTGCTCTCTCTCTCACTGGTCTCTCTCTCTGCTCTCTCTCTCACTGGTCTCTCTCTGCTCTCTCTCTCACTGGTCTCTCTCTCTGCTCTCTATCTCACGGGTCTCTCTCTATGCTCTC